CCTAATCTGGTCGCCCTGCCTATACTTCCTGCCTGGCTTCTAGCCAATCAGTGTTTTATTAAACCAATTGAGTGACAAACCATTACAGTGGACAAGAGCATTATCCCAACAGCAACCTATTCTTGTATTAATTGAAAAGCTGTACCAGGTATGCCTGGCCTGTGGCTCTTGAACCACTTGCATCCCAACATAGCTGTGAATACAGCCCCACACATTTGCAGATGACAAGACCATGTCACAGTGTCAAAAGGTGGAACAGCACTGTATGAAGAAGAAAAAAATAGAAGATAGAGTTTAAATATCCAGAAGTGGAGAAGATTTTGTGATACATTGCTCAATATTTCCTTAAAAACTAAGAATAAATTTTCCAGCCAAACCGCATCATAAACTATTTGGAAATGGCTGGACTTTGGGGAGAGAATGGTTTTAACAAAATACTTTCACCTATTAGCTAACTCAGATCAGCTGGAAGTGCCTTTCTTAGTGAATGCAATTTTAGATGTTAATAAGATGGTATGCCAAAATTTGAGCAAATGCATGCAGTCTTCAGCTAGTAATGGCTGCTAGTTAAGAGGGCAAGAGCAAGTACTTACTTTTGGCGTATTGTGTGAGATAGTGATTTAAAAAATGGTTCCTTATATTTCTTTTATGCTTTACAGTGCTTAGCACAGTTCAGAAAGAAAAGTATTTGTGGAATTTTTAAGACTAATATTGAATGGTCCCAAATGGTACTTTGCTGTGCTCATGATGAACTCTAAAATCCCATCTATCTCCAAAAGTTTATGATTGTGTAATAGTCAATTATTCTAATGCTATTTAACTAGGTATAAATTACAAAATAAAATCTTTATTAAATAAAACGTTTGGGCTTATTTTATGAATCTCAAAAACTCTGACTTTTCTGTTCATGTTCAATAAGGATTTTTCTTAACTTTTATTTATGTGTATGGGTGTGCCTGTGTGTGTGTGTGTGTGTGTGTGTGTGTGTGTGTGTGTGTGTGTGTGTGACATGTGTACATGTGCCTGCAGATGCTACTTGGGGGTGTCAGATCGAGAAGCTACAGTCATAGCAATTTTTTTTTTTTGCAGAAAGCTACATAGGTTGTGGAAACTGAACTCAGGACTTCCAGAAGAGAAAAAAGAACTCAAAACCACAGAAGCATCTCTCCAGCTTCTCAAACATAATTTTATAAAATTCTTTGTAGTCTATTAAACTTAATTTTTTAAAGATTTGTTTCTTTTTATGTGCATGTGTGTCTGAGTGAGTTCACATGCATCATGTGAAGGAAGATGCCTATAGATCCCAAAAGAAGGCATTAAGTCCCCAGAAATGAGAGTTGTAGAGGTTATGAGCTGCCTGAAGTGGCTGCTGGGAATCAATGTAGGTCCTTTATAAGAACAGTATATGCTCTTACAGGGCCATCATTCCAACCCCTTCAACTGATATTTAAACCTATTTTTCTTAAACTATGCCTTGCAAATTTAAAAGAATTCTGAAACGAAATACTTTAGAATTTGGAATTCAGAAATTCCAAGTATGTCATATTTTAGAATTATGCCCATTATTTCTAAACTTTCTTTATAAATTCCCAAATGTGATGTAAGAACATTAGTATGACTGGAACAGTCTGAATTTAATTTCTTATACCAAATAAGTTTTACATCTCCTGTCTCAAAGGGTTAATAGCTAATACCTCATTTAAATTTTAGTGTAATTCTAACTGTTTTAAATTTAGAAGCATTAATTTAAAAGATGTGTTATCACCTACAAATGATTAAAAATAAAATAATCATGTCATTTCTTTCTATAGGATAATATTAGGCAGAAGGACTGTAAAGGCTGGAGGACTTGAATGTTTTCTGTAAGATAGCATCTTCTAGACATGACAAGGAGCAGCCCCATGATATTTCAACAACATGGTTACCAATATAATACCTGCATAGACACATCAGAACCAATTAACATGCCAATATAACTAGAATTTCACAAGATCCCACCCCTGGAAAAAGAGGTCCCCAGCAACCAATGGCTATTGGGAAAGGAAGAATCTACTTTCTCCAAGGATGAGTCCCTGATGGATTATCCAATCACATGGTCAGCCATAAATATATGTACATAAGAGAAACACTATATGAACTCAGAATGGGGTGTGTGTGTGTGTGTGTGTGTGTGTGTGTGTGTGTGTGTGTGTAGTCATAATAATTAAGACATAAAAGTAATGTATTTGAGAGGGAGTGGGGGAACACAGAAGGACCTGGAGAGTTTTTTTAAGAGGCAGAAATGATGTGAATACTGTACTCATGTATTAAATTATATAAAAAAAAGTAAATTTAAAAATGACAAAAAATAATAATATTATAAAGGAAATCAAAAAACACAGGAAGTAAATGAGGTCCTGATAAACAGAGTTATAAAATAGTAAATAAGACTGTCTATTCTAAGGTTAAAACCTTTTTAAAATCTCGGGTAAGGTTTATTCAGAAGTGACAAAGTTTGTAACTTCTAATGATAAAAATAACTCGATCACTGTTGGTTAACTTACAAAAACTAAGCTTCTCCTGTCTTTGGCTTGCAAGCATGGTGATAACACTCTGTTCCTATTGCAGGTTGGTGTTTAGGCCTAGTGAGTTCTAGAAACGCTGCAGTGAATACTTGATGTTCTCTAGACTCCCCTAAGGTAGACAAGAACCCCTTACCCAACTCAAGCTTGGTCACAGAGATTTTCCACATAAGACTTTCCTAACTACCATGACCTCAACAGAAAGCAGCTCCAGTTGAGAGGTTACTTTTATGTAGTACGAGGGCCAACAACTACAGGATCGTTGAATTTTAGGAAAGTTAAATGCTGTCTTACTTTGTACTGCTGTACAAAAATATAAAAGCATCATGCAGTTGTAAACATGGAGGGCAGTAGTGGATGGTGCCCGGGTCTCCGGTCTCCTGCGACAGGGTGGAACATGCCTCCTGGTGAAAGAAGACAGCTCCAAACAGAGTGCTTAGGAAAGGGCAGATCAGGTGACCAGAACTGTGGCAGTCTAAACTTCGAATGAATATGCCCTAGACATAGAGTGGTAAGAAAAGCAAGCCGCCTCATAGAAGGAACGAAATGTTCACACGGGCAACAATGCCATTGAGACAGGCTATAGAGATCCTAGGATGCATTGCCCCTGTGTTCTGTGCAAATGACAATATAATTTCCTTCCCAGAGCAGTTACACGGAAAGAAATCCTTTTTTTTTTTCAATTGAGAAAGAATCTATTTTCTCCATATGCATTATTTGTTGTCCCAGTGATATATAGCTAATAAATGTGGTTATAAATATTTAAGCTATTAATGGCTGTGTTACACATTATAAATAGCTCTATGAGCTCACCAGGCATTGTAAGTGATACACTCTGCTTCCCCAAGGAACCATGGATAAAGTCACAGCCACATTATGTGCATTCACCAGTGACAGATGAGTACTATGTCTGTAAACAGATACTACACTGGTTTTATTACAGTCAGCAAAATTGGTGGCAAAGAGGCTGTTATATAAACTGACTTCATCTAACAGATAGCACGCTATGACTAAGGAAAAGTTTAATTCTTGTAGAATTAATTTTGTACCATAGTATCAAGTTTGATTTTTAAAAGGTCTGTGAGGAATGTGAAAGAATGCATTGATGGCATTAGTTATTTAAGAACCCTGTATGCAGCATTTTGAGTTTCGCAGCTACCCATTTCTATCCTTTTCTGGCCTTATTTTTCCCTGTTTGTACATATAATTAAGCTATAAGGTAAAGTTAATAAATCATCTCAACAGGACACTAGAAGTACAGAAGTAAAGGCAAGCCAGTTTCAGAGACAACCATGTTGGATTGCTTAATTAATTTCTATGACTTGTGTTATACACAGCTATTAATCTATCTGAGGATCACTTTTCTGGCTTGACAGAAATAGGAAAACGAGGTCTAGAGAGATAGCTCAGTAGTTAAGGGTTCTGTTGCTCATCTAGAGGACCCAAGTTGAATTCTCAGCATTCTCATAGTGACTTATAACTATCTATAACTCCAGTCCTAGGAGATCTGATGACCTCTTATGGCTTCAGTAGGCAATGGTCATGCACATGGTACACAGACCTATGGCAGGCCAAAGACTCATACCTATAAAATAAAATAAAATAAAAATAATTTTTAAAAAACTGAAATGTAAAAACAAGCTAAAAATTGCTTTTATTAAATGCATGCATGCAGAGAGCTGTTCAGTGAGCGCTACTAAGGCATTATGATGGCTGAACTGCAGACTGGTGATGATGTCCGTCTTCTAACAGAGGTAGATGCATGTGAGAAGCACGGATTAACTTCATCATCCACCCTTCACCTTCTGAACTCTCATCAATTTGTTGGCTCTCCACTCATGGGCATGTCTGTAATTGTTATGGTAACCTTGAAATGCAAGCATTATTTCTCCATTTTATAAGCAACTGACTAAAGCTCAGAAGTGAAGTGCTCAATGTCATATGAATATTAAATGGCAAAGCCAGAAGCTGGCTCCAGCCCAGTTCTGCAAAATTCCAGAACCTGAAAGGACAGCAAAGAGATGAGGGAAAAAGACATGATGCAGTCTCCTTACCACCCCCAACACACACACACACACACACACACACACACACACACACACACACACACACACACACACACCATGCCCCCTAATTCACTCACTTTCCCAAGGCAAGTTACTGGAATGTGTTGAAACTCAGTGTTCTGTCTCTAAGTTTACCCTAGATGATCTTCAGAAACCCAGAAGAAGAATTTCCCAGAATGAATGAGGATTCTGGGATCTGTATATTTTCTAAAATGCGGTTTGTTTTCGCAAAGTCAGCTACCTAATTGAATCCTTTGCTGTTCTCTGATTATCCTCAGGCAAGGACTGATGCTAACACAGAGAAAGAATGTCCTTAGGTCTACAGAGGCAAGAGAAATTGTTGAAGCTACCAGTGCTCTAGATTTGTTCGTTATATATCTTAAATTTTCCTGCAAAAAATGAAGAAAGCGTCAGATTAGACAGGTACAAAAATAAATTCTCTTTTGCATCCCAGAACTCATGGTTCTGTATGAATTCTGATACATACAAGAAGGAATATAGGACAGTACACAGGGATTATGGTATTGATGAGGTTGATTCTAACTATCCTATAATTTAAAGGCATGGGTAATAATAAAAAATCCTGATGTGATGAATATTTCAAAAAAAAATGAAATTGCATGCTGCAGCAAAGAATAAGTGTGTTTTCATGTAGTTAGAGGATAGGATTCAGGCATTTAAATAAACACTTTTAAATGTTTTTAATAATAATAAATCACTTTCCAGTTAGCATTTGTTGATTTCTATATTAAATGTGGACAAATAAAATTGATTTAATACCCCAATACTACATAGTGTCAACTGGGATTTCAAATAAATGGGAAGGAGTTTATATTTCTTATTGTCATTTTTCTGTGAATCTGGGCTCAGAGTAGATATACCTGGACTGTGTCAAGTCGTTTCCACAATCACTTGGAGATTACCTCTATCCTGCATAATTTTTTTATATATTACCCAAATCACATATAACAAAAAGATCTCCACATATTCTTACTAAAGCCATTTGTTGTATTTTATGAATTAAATGTAGTTCTTGCCTTCAAAAATACTCTGAAAGAAAACAACAGTAATTTGGGGAATTAAATGCTGTGTTTAGAATTGAGGACAGCCAAGGACATGCCACCATATACAATTACATGAGTGGACTTAATGCATAAATCTTAGATAGAAAGTTGAAATGGGATCTTTTTTCTTGTTTTTTAACTAAGGGTAAAATTCATAATGGGTGATAATTAAAATATTTAATGAATAAATTATACTTCCCTGATGCCTGCTATATCTTCTAACATAAAATTTTAGCTTATTGTGTTATATGCTAACTTTCACATTAAGTAAATTAGTTGACTCTATCTGAACTGGAAGAAGATGTTGCATAATAATGCATTGTGTTGATTGATTGTGATGTTTAAGTGTGCTTAACACTTATTTTGCACTTTATATCCTCAAAGCACTTCACAAACATTAGCTAATTAATCATCGTGTCACGGCGATGTCAGGAAGGTGGTTGGATTCCCATTTCTGAGATGAAGGAATTAAATAAAGTGGCTTATGGCAACAAAAGGCCTTTAGAAGTTTAAGTGTGAATACCTCAGGCAAGTTCTCCCTAAGTGGTTATAGCAGGGAGTCTAACTGTGTGTTCCTCACAGAAGGAACACCTGGGACTCAATGGTTTATCACAGGATGGTCACTCTTCCAGTGTCCAATAATCCTAGTAAGCTTTGTTATTCTCAAATAGCTCTCATGCGAGTTAACATTGCCGAATATTTTACATTTTGAAAACATAAAGCTTTAGTAATTAGAAATTCTGTGAATTTTTTTCAAATTTCATATTTTTTTAATTTTATAATTAATTTACTTTTATATATCAGCCACAGATTCCCCTGTCCTCCCTCCTCCCACCCAGCCCCCTTCTCCCCCTAATCCACCCCTCATTCCTACCTCCTCCAAGGCAAAGACTCCCCTGGGGATTCAGCTCAGCCTGGTAGATTCAGTTGAGGCAGGTCCAGTCCCCTCATCCTTTCACCTAGGCTGAGCAAAGTGTCCCAGTATAGGCCCTAGGTTCCAAAAAGCTAGCTCATGCACTAAGGACAGGTCCTGGTCCCACTGCCTGGGAGCCTCCTAAATAGTTCAAGCTAATCAACTGTCTCACTTATCCAGAGGGCCTGATCCAGTTATTGGTTCATAGTTCATGTGTTTCCACTAGTTTGGCTATTTGTCCCTGTGCTTTTTCCAGTCATGGTCTCAGTATCTCTTGCTCATATAATCCCTCCTCTCTCTCGCCAATTGAACTCCTGGAGCTCCACCTGGGGCTTGGCCGTGGATCTCTGCATCTGCTTCCATCAGTCACTGGATGAGAGTTCTATCATGACAGATAGGGTGTTCAGCTATCCGATCACCAGAGTAGGTCAGCTCGGGCTTTCTCTCAACCATTGCCAGTAGTCTATTGTGGAGGAATCTTTCTGGGCTTCTGGGGACCTCTCTAGCACTTTGCCTCTTCCTATTCCCATGGAGTTTTCATTTATCATGGTATCTCTTTCCTTATTCTCCCTCTCTGTTCTTGATCCAGCTGGTACCTCCTGCTCCCCTAGGAATGAGGGGTGGATTGGGGGGAGAGGGGGGCTGGGTGGGAGGAGGGAGGACAGGGAAATCTGTGGCTGATATATAAAAGTAAATTAACTATAAAATTAAAAAATTTTATAATTTAAAAAATTAAAAAAGAGAAAGAAAGCTCTCTTTCCCCTGAACCTTGCCCTTCATTACCTCCCCTCACATCCAGTTTGCTCATGTAGATCTCATCCATTTCTCTGTCGTTGGGTGATCCCTGTGTCTTTCTTAGGGTTCTCTTTACTAGGTAGCCTCCCTGGAGTTGTGAGTAGCAGTCTAGTCATCCTTTGCTTTACATCTAGTATCCATGTATGAGTGAGTACATACCATGTTTGTCTTTCTGAGTCTGGGTTACCTCACTCAGGATGATTTTTTTCTAGATCCATCCATTTGCCTGCAAACCTCATGATGTCATTGTTTTTGTCTGCTGAATAGTACTCCATTGTGTATATGTACCACATTTTAGTTATCCATTCTTCAGCTGAAGGGCATCTAGGTTGTTTCTAGGTTCTGGCTATTACAAACAATGCTGATATGAACATAGCTGAGCATGTGCCTTTGTGGTATGATTGAGCATTCCTTGGGTATATGCCCAAGAGTGGTATAGCTGGGTCTTGAGGGAGATTGATTCCCAATTTTCTAAGAAAGCGCCATATTGATTTCCAAAGTGGCTGTACAAGTTTGCATTCCCACCAACAGTGTAGGAGAGTTCCCCTTGCTCCATATCCTCTCCAGCATAAGCAGTCTTCAGTGTTTTTGATCTTAGCCATTCTAACGGGTGTAAGGTGGTATCTCAGAGACATTTTGATTTGCATTTCCCTGATGATTAGGGATGTTAAGCAATTCCTTAAATGTCTTTCAACTATTTGAGCTTCTTCTGTTGAGAATTCTCTATTTAGCTCTATAGCCCATTTCTTAATTGGACTGTTGGGCATTTTGATGTCTAATTTCTTGAGTTCTTTATATATTCTGGATATCAGCCCTCTATCAGATGTGGGGTTGGTGACGATCTTTTTCTATTCTGTAGGCTGTTGCTTTTTCTTGTTGACCATGTCTTGTTGACCATACTCTACAAAAGCTTCTCAATTTCAAGAGGTCCCATTTATTAATTGTTTCTCTCAGTGTCTGTGCTACTGGTGTTATATTTAGGAAGTGATCTCCAGTGCCAATGCATTCAAGACTACTTCTTACTTTCTCTTCTATTAGGTTCAGAGTAACTGGATTTATGTTGAGGTCTTTGATCCACTTGGACTTAAGTTTTGTGCACAGTGACAGATATGGATCTATTTGCAGCCTTCTACATGTTGACATCCAGTTATGCCAGCACCATTTGTTGAAGATGCTTTCTTTTTTTCATTGTACAGTTTTGGCTTCTTTGTCAAAAATTATATGTTCATAGGTGTGAGGATTAATGTCAGGGTCTTCAATTCCATTGGTCCACATGTTGGTTTTTATGCCAGTACCAAGCTGCTTTTATTGCTGTTGCTCTATAGTAGAGCTTGAAGTCAGGGATCATGATGCCTCCAGAGGTTGTTTTATTGTACAGGATTCTTTTGGCTATCCTGGGTTTTTTGTTTTTCCATATGAAGTTGAGTATTGTTTTTTCCAGGTCTGTGAATCTGTGAAACTTTAAAATAGATTTTTTTCTGGTATTATCAGTTAATCATGTTTGAAAACAATATTAATTACTGCCAAGGTTTTATTTATTATTTTAAAATCAACCATATTAACTAAAATATCTGGGTTATTCCACAGGCAGGTCATTCTTTTGAATATTAGTCAAAATATAACCAATAAATATTTTCTAAATTCTTAAATGAATGTCATTAGTCAAGTGTTATTATTTTAATTTTGCTAAATGTTTTTATGTTATATGATATTGCTAATCTGACAATCATAAAATTGTATACTATCCAGACTAAAACTGACAATGAAAGCATAGCATACATTGAGGAAGGGACATAAAATCAAACAATTATTAATTTTTTACAAAGTAAACCCAAGTGATTAAGCACTAGACAATCAAGGCATACACCATCACATGCCCCCTGTTCCTTCCCCTATGGCACTACATTCTAAATGTAGTCTCTGTTGATTCCTATAACTTTTAATTGTTTTACCTATTTTGGGATTTTGCACAAATGTAATTATGCAACATGCACCTTTTTAACATTTTTGTATTTTTTTTCTCTCAGTATATTTTGCCAGAATTCTTCCTGGTATTTTGTAAAGTGGTTTATTCATTTCTGTTGCTTTACAGTATTATATAAAAGTGTGTGTGTGTGTGTGTGTGTGTGTGTGTGTGTGTGTGTGTGTGTACATTCCACGACTTACTGATTGGTTCTACTATTCAAGTACAACTGGGTTGTCACAGTTCAAGGATGCTAACTACAGTATGATTATGAACATTTTTCTGTGAAAGTTTTGATGTACATAAGCACAAATTCCTATTTCAATCTAGTAGCAATAGATGGGAATGACCTTTCTCACAGATTCTTCTCAAGGTCAGGAACATGTTATTTTATTATTTTTATTCTAGAAATTATTAATTTACCAGTCATGTTTAATTATAAAATCAAGAGTTTTTGTATATGAGAATTGAGTTGACCCAAGTATTTATATAAACAACCAACCCGACAAAATTCATTGGATGTAAAATGATTTCTTCATTGTAACTACATTCATCACCCTGGAGTTAGTAATCATTGTCAGTGAAAAGTTGTTCTGGCCCTGGAATGTTTACTTGTCTGTCTTTTCAATTAATATTTTATTATTAATAGTAATGTTAAATAAATATTAGTATAATATTAATGATCAAAATAATAACTTGCTCATTAATATTCAAACCTTATGAAATACTACAGCTACACAACATATAACATATAATATACAAACT